AAAAAAAAAAAAAAAAAAAAAAAGAAGTCCTATATGTAGCCTTAAAAGATATGAACTGTGTCTCAAGGCACGTCTCAACGAAAATATGATTTAACTTTTTCTAGAAAGACAAAAAGAATGCTCAAAGCATTTTGTTGGAGTTTACATGAACTGAATTTGAAATCCTGAAGAACAGTCCTTGAGAAAATCAGTATCAGCCTTCTATGCAAATAATGCTTTACGATCATTTCTGGAGATAAACGAAGCATTATTATTATTTGATTTAAGCTATGTTCTAAATCATTTTCTACACAAATCTTGGAATTTGGAAATTTCAGTAAAAAATCTGAATTTCATATAAAGAATCTGAGTAACTGTAAAATATTGTGTTAAAACTTACAATCAGAAGCCAGATGTGGTGGCCCACTCCTGCGATCACAACACTGAGGAAGCTGAGGCAAGAAGACGGCTATGAGCTTAAGGCCAATCTGGGCTACATAGGGAGTTCAAGACCAGTCTGTACTACATAGTGAGACCTTGTCTACACAAAAACAAAACCTTTCTTTGTGTCTGTTTTTTGAGACAGGATCTCACCATGAAGTTTCAACTGGCCTTGTGCTCACTTTTGTAGGCTGCAGGCTAGTCTTGAACTTGCAGAGATCCTCCTGTCTCAGCCTTCTGAGTGTTGGGATTACAGGTGAGCACCACCACACCCAGTTTCGGGGCAGCACGGCGGGCACCCGGAGATCTGGTGCAGAGACTGCATGGCATGCGGGCCTGGGGATGGAATTCAGGCCCTGGTCCTTGCCAGGAGGGTGCTTATGCCTCTGTGCTATCTCCCTGGCCCTAACAAACACCTTTTGATCAGAGAGAGCTTTAAACAAGGGATGGGGTGGAAAGCGGACACAGAAATACCTAGAAAAATCTACAATTTTCAGAAGTTAGATATTTCACACCTAATGTTACATTTTTAAAAATAAGATTTATCAGTAATGAATTACCCTAAATGAGGACCTCCGTTCATTAAATCAAACACCTGAGCTGGATTCAGCAGCTGCTTAAAACGACGAAGGAACTTCACTCCCTGATTATCTCCACTCTTGGAGTTGACAAAAACCAACAGAGGACTAACACAGAATGAAAACGTTGCTCTACAGAAACCTGTAAAAAATAAAAAAAGTACAAGATCAGCACATTCAGTTTCCCTGACATTACTAACACACAATTCAGAAAAAAGATACATTCATTAAAAAACCTTGTTTATTGTTGGAATACCCAGTTACAATTTAGTCCCCTAAATGCAGAAAGGCTTATCACTTACAGACTAAGAATACAGCATATCTTTTAAAAATATACTCTAAACTGAGTATGGTGACACACACCTATAATCCTAATACTCTAGGTGGCTGTGGCAGGAGGACTGCGAGTTTGAGTTCAGCCTGGGCAACTTTATAACTTTATCAGACCCTGCTTAAAACAATTTTTTTAAAGATTTGGGCATATAGCTCAGTGCAAAGAAGACTCTTGATTCAATCCACAGTCACACACACACACACACACACATACACACACACACGAGAACCTTATTTATTACTCTGTAATAAAAAATCAAGGGTGGGAGATAGTTCAGTGGACTAAGTGCCTGCTTAGGCAAGCTCAGGAACAGGGATTCGATCCCTGGCACCACATGCTGTGCTGGCCCTGCCCCAAGTGTGTCGAGCTAGCCACTGAGACAGGGTGTAGTGGCACAGGCCTGCAATCCCAGCACTGGAGAGGCTGAAAACAGGAGGATCACTATGGGACTGAGCTGTGTAGTGAGACCTTGTACCAAATACATTAAAAAAAAATCATACCAGAATTGACCAAAGTACACAGATACTGAGAATATTACTTGTTCTTAATTATATGAAAAAAACTAATTACAGCCTACAAATGCAATGTCAGAGTCCATATATTTAAAATTAGTACTTTAAAACATTTTAATTGTTCCTTACTGAGGTCTAAGAAAATATTTAAAACTTTTAACAAAACAATCTAGATATATTGGGGACTGTGGATGGAACTATCAATAGCATAGGTTAAAAAATAAAAAACCAAAACACATCAATTTAAGCTTTATATATCTATAGCTAAGATAAATAC